CTTCCGAGGAGTGGCTGGTGGGTTTGAACCGCCAGCCGTCTGGTTAGCAGGCAAGTGTCTTAGCCACTATGCTACCAGAGCTCCCATGTATATATATATATATATATATATATACACACACATATATATATATACACATTTATATATATGACTTATGTAGTCATATACATATGAAACCAAACCAAACTCACTGCCTTCAGGTTGATTTCAACTCATAGCAATCACCCCATCAGGTTTTTGGGGCTCTAAATCTTTATGGAAGTAGATTGCATCATCTTCCTTCCACGGAGCCGCTGGTGGGTTTGAATCACTAACCTTCTGGTTAGCAGCCAAAGGTCTTATCCACTATGCTACTATATTGTGTGTGTGTATGTGTGTACATATATACATATATCTCAAAGATTATTGGTGGTTACCAGAGGGAGGAGGAAAGGGGAAGCTTTTGTTTGCAAGGTATTGACTTTATGCTAATGGTTGGAGAATATTTTAGAAAAGGTTAGCAGTAATGGTGGCACAACATGAAAAATATCATCAAAGTCCCTGAGCTGTAATTGTGGAAGTTGTTATGTTGATAAATAACTTGGTGTGTGTGTTTTCCCTATAATAAAAGTACATTTTAAAAAATTAACAAAAAGTTTTAAAACACTAACTATTCTCAAATATCTTTATCTGAGATAGAGAAAACTATAGTACTTTTTGCTTTCCATACAGGTTGTAGCCACAGGGCTCTGTGGTACAGAGATGAAAAAGCTGAACTATCATCACATTTTTCTCCTATTTTGGGCCATGAAGGGGCTGGAGTAGTTGAGAGTGTGGGAGAAGGAGTGAGCACTCTGAAAACAGGTACAAATTGGGACCTGGGGTTTGGAAATAGCAGTAACACAGAACTCACATGAGAAAAGTAAAAGATAAATATATTGAAATCAATTTAGATACAAGGGAAATGTTGCCCATTTCTTAGAAAAAGAGAGATAATTATTCCTCTTACACCAAAATATTAAATATATTTTATTCTCTGCATTTATATTTTAAGAAGAAGAAGAACAAGTAGAAATTGAATGCACTGAAACTAGGTCTGAAAGACAGTACAAATAAGAAAAAAAATTTCCAAAAACAAAAAGGCAACTGCTGGACAATTAATTTAAATGAAACATATGATGAATAGTCAAACACATTAGTGGCACAAAATAGGAAAGGAGATCAGAACTAAAATCAATATATATATAAATTTAATGCTTCTGTCAGGAACTACAGCCTTTGAAAACCTATGTGGCAGTTGTGTTCTGACCTATAAAATAGCTATGAGTTGGAATTAACTCAATAGTAGTAGGTATGGTTAGTTTGTTTTTTTTTTTTTTTCTGTTTTTTGTTTTGTTTTGTTTTCTATGATAGAAGTTGGTCAATGTGATCAAGCTGCCACCAGTTTGCTAGCTGATCACCCTGAGAAATGGTTCCAAATAACAGATTCAGTGTTGGTCTCTGCTGCTGACAGATTGGGCACTCAGCAGTGACTGTAGTCAGGTCAGTCTTGGTGAGTGGAAGTCTGTGTTACTGAGCCTATGCATAACCTCCATCCTTGCTACCATGACCACTTGTTAATGAGTCCATTTCAAAATGATAGGAGTAGCTGAAGAAAGAAGATAACTGGTCTCCACAGAATATTTCATCCTGTCTACTTGATTATTTTAATTAAGTGGACAGGATGAAATAATATCCTCTTTGCAGGTCACCCATTGATGAGCATTCATATGAGATACAAATATCTTCACTTCTTTAGCCCATTTTATGAGGTCTCTCCACATATGTCTTCCTCATACATGTTTGTCAACAATTTTCTAGTCATGTTCCTTCCAAGGCACTCACCATCCAGCCAAATCATTGCCCACAACCCATGAATGAGTATACCATTGTACATCTAGCCATCTCTCCTTCCAACCAAAGAGAACGATCAGCAGCACTTCTCAACGTTCTACCCATTGGGAGGATCTCCCCTCACCTCTGTCCTTCAGGGAAGTCTCAAAAAGGGGTTCCAGTGCTGTTGTTGTTGTTGTTGTTATATGCCATCGAGTCGGCCCCGACTCATAGCGACCCCTCCTTGGGTTTCCGAGGCAGTATCACTACGGAAGTAGGATTGCCCAACCTTCCTTCCGAGGAGTGGCTGGTGGGTTTGAACAGCCAGCCTTCTGGTTAGCAGTCAAGTGCCTTAGGCACTATGCTACCAGAGCTCCAATTTCAAGTGGTGACTGCATATAGTACAGAACCAGGAATGAGTTTTCTCTTCCTCAATCAACTGATCATAATGAACTGCCCATGAGGTCAGAGGTGCAGATTGGGAGAGGGAAAGTAATGACTGGAGTAGAGTTTATGGGCATTTGGGCCCCTTCCTCATACAACTTACTTATGCCTTTCAGGTCCTGCTCAAGCCTTATCTCTATTTATATATCAGTTTCATTTAATAATGGAGTACTGTTGTGCATGTCCAACACTCAGTGGCAGTGGCAGTAGGCAGCTCAGGCTGCATGATGACTTAGTGGCCCATGGTTAGGTGTTCAGTCACTACTAAGACCCAGTAACAAGCCAAAAGGTTTTTCTAAAAAGGAAAGTAGTTTTCTACAGAGGATGGCAGGGCTTTGCCCCAAAAGCCTAAGGTCCTGCACTGTGACTCACCAATAAGGACCTTCCTGACTCCAAATATCATTTCTATCTGCCACTGACACTTCAAGCACCATTGGATCAGCTGGATCATATGGCCCAAGTGGCAGAACTTGCATGGCAGCCTGAACTTTTTGCAGTGCCTTCTGTTGTTCTGGGCAATATTCAAAACTAGTAGTTTTTTGAGTCACTTGACAAACAGGTCAGAATAATACACCCAAATGAAGAATATATTGCCTCTAAAATCCAGTCACACCAGGTATTGTGCCTTTTTTTTAGTTGTAGAAGGGGCCAGATGCAATCACTTATCCTTCACTTTAGTAGGTGTATCTCCACATGCCCCACAGCACTGGAACCCTAGAAATTTCACTGAGGTGGAAGGCATTTGAATTTTGGGGGGTTAATTTCCCATCTTCTACCATGCAAATATCTCACCAATAAGTCTAGAGTCATTCATAATGTTATCAATGCAATGGGTCAGTGTGACATCTTCTTGAAGGAAAGGTGATCAAGCCTCCTGTGGAATAAATTACAACATAGGGTTGGAGAACTGATATACCCCTGGGGCTTACTGGAACTTGTGTCTAGTTATTGGTCTAGAAACAAAAATGGGTGGCATGAGTGGTTCCTGGGAACATTCAGAAATGTGTTGTAAGGCATTTGCCTCAAGCAATGCCCCAGACAAAGTTTCAGGGCCACCTCAGGTGATTTCTCAGAAAATGACTCATCAAGCATAGCTCAGTATCGTCAGATGAGGGTAAGAAGGTTGATTCTGATGGTAGCGGTGATTCAAAGGAATTTAGGGGCTCAGTGTTCACAGCTACCTGATTATCTTCCCATATATTACCATCTCAAATTTTAAGATCCCATTTCTTCCCATTCAATGCCTCACTTTAACTTCAGACACCATTTTAGATTGGCAATTCAACTGATATTGTAATTCAGCCACTCTTATAAGATTCTGGGTTTGGTTTTCAACAATATCAGCTCTGTTACTACAAGAAATAAGACTTTCTTTAAGGGGAAAAGTGGAAATATTGAAGTCTTTTATGTGGCCCTTAAGCTGTGACTCTGAAGCCCTGAGATAATCTCTTTGTTTCATCACTTTGTCTAGGTAAGTAGAACAAATCTAGCAGCTTCCTTATATTCTCATTCTCACAAAACTGCAAAAAAAGTATCAAACATGTGACCCACCAAACTCTCACTTCTCATCAATACTTGATCTATTGGTGGTGACATTTTGGGTATTAATATTATCACCTCATGATGTGGATTAGCAGTGCCCTCTTTATTAATGGTGGCAAAGTCATCATCAGTGCCTTTAAGGCTAGTCAAACTTGATAATCAATTTAGAAAACCCATTCTTTCGATTTTGTTTCTCTAGAAACATTCCCAGTACCAAATATTTTAGCCTGGGTTCTCTAGAGAAGCAAAATCAGTGAAATATATATATGTGTGTGTGTGTGTGTATATATATATATATATATATTTTGTTGTTGTTGTTGTTGTTATGTGCCGTCGAGTCAAACCTGACTCATAGCGACCCCTCCTTGGGTTTCCAAGGCAGTATCACTACGGAAGTAGGATTGCCCAACCTTCCTTCCGAGGAGTGGCTGGTGGGTTTGAACCGCCAGCCGTCTGGTTAGCAGGCAAGTGTCTTAGCCACTATGCTACCAGAGCTATATATATATATATATATTTAAGAGAAAGATTTTTCTCAAGGAAATGACTCACACAGTTGTAGAGGTTGCCAAGTCCCAAGTTCATGAGTCAAATGTCAGGCTGGAGGCTTCTCCTGATTCACATAGGTGCAGGGGCTAATGAACCCAAGATCATCAAGCAAGAGAGTAGGCCTCTGGCTGCAGTGACTGAGGAATCCAAGATTGCCGGGGGCTCTGAAGGGAATAATCACAAAATCACTAGACAATACAGCAGGTTGCTGGTTCAAGTCCAAAGAACTGGAGGTCAGATGATCATGGGCCAGATGCAGGATCTAAATCAAGCAAAAAGCTAGAGAGCTTTTCCAGAATATCCATATACACTGGAAGCAGGCCATAAAACCAAAAAAAAAAAAAAAAAAACTCACTGCCAACAAGTCAATTCAAATACCTTAGACACTATGCCACCAGAGCTCCTTGAAGCAAGCCATAAAACCTGAGGAAATTCCCTCCTCATAGCAGATCTCATCATGGGGGAAGACCACATTACAACTGCCAAACCACTGAAAATCATGGCCAGCCTAGTTGAAACACAACTCCAACCATCACATTATGTAAACATTTTTTAAATGATGGAAAGCCATATGTAGTAAAATTAGTACTCTCTAAGATAAGTTAAAAAAGCAAGGCCCAAAATATAATAGATAGTATGCTAGCCTTGAGGAGCTCTGGTGGCATAATGCCTAAGGCATTTGACTGCTAACCAGAAAGCTGGTGGTTCAAACTCACCAGCCACTCCTCAGAAGGAAGATAGGCAATCTACTTCCATAGAGATACCGCCTCAGAGAACCAAGGAGGGGATGCTATGAGTCAGAATTGACTCAACAGCAGTGAGTTTGGGTTTTTTGGTTTTATTCTAGCCCTGCATTTTTAAAGAGGATATGTATCTCTGAAAGATACCATAGTAATTGTCTCTAAGGTGCAGAAATGAGGAAATGAGGAACAAAAAAAAAAGTAGCACATTCATAGAGTAAGAATTTAAAAATGTTTGTAGTTTAAATTTTTATCCTGTGAATGTGTAACTTTTTTTTTTTTTAGTAACATATTCATAGGGTAAATATTTAAATTACACAAAAGTAAGACACCCTGTTCCTCATTTCCTCTCTTCTCCACTTTAGAGACAATTACTATGGTATTTTTCAGAGATATATGTCTTCTTTACAAACGCAAGGCTAGCACACTATTATATTTTGGGCCTTTTTATCCTATGAATGTGTTACTTTCTAAAAATCAAGCTACATTTTAGAAAGAGTGCTAACCAGAAGGTTGGCAGTTCAAACCCACCAGCCACTCGGAGGAAGAAAGACTAGGCAATCTACTTCCATAGAGATGCCGCCTCAGAAACCCAAGGAGGGGTCACCATGAGTCGGAATCCACTTGATGGCAGTGACTTTTGTTTGGTTTAAAAAAAAAAATCCTAAAAAGCTTTTTACTGAAAATATGAAATGAAATAAATTGTCCTGGTTAGACAAAGGACCAGCCACTAAGTTCATCACAAGCAAGCTATTCTATCTTCTCATTATATTTAAATCATTGCTAGAGAAATCTGCCTACCTTTAGTCTCCATGCCAAGAAAGAAAACTTTCTATAAAACACAGAAGACAGCATTTACATAATCCTTCCTTTCTGATCCAGAAGCTTATTCTGTGAGTGTGTGGTATCCATATTTTACATCCAGTCCCTGAAAGCAAAGTTGGTTTAGAAAATGTCGGATAAGACTACATGACAACATCATTTGGTGCTCGTGGAGGAAAGTACAAAGGAGAAATATCTGGGGCCATCTCCTCAGGATTCAGCCACTGAGCCCTGGGCACAGCAGGATGGTTCACAGATGGCAAAGACATCCACTCTTTTGGAAGGCATTTTATTTTCTTAGTAGTATCAGGCATAGTTAAATATGGAAATAATTGTCAGCTATCACCATAATGATATATTCTTAGTGTGTCAACAACAAGGAACCCTTGTTGTTGACACACTGAGAGACACCAAGCCCTGTTCATTTAAAAAATGAAGTTCTACCAGCAGAGGGAAGAAGGGGGCAAAGAGAAGCTATTATTAAAAACGGACTGAGCTTCTGTTAAGGGCGACAGAAAATTTTGGGAACAGATAATGGTAATGGTCACACAATGTGATGAAAATAATTAATGTCACTGAATTGTACATGTAAAATGTTGAATTGGCAAATGGTTTATGAGATATATATGCCATCTCTGGTGGCATAGTGCCCAAGGCATTTATTTGACTGTTAACCACAATTTTAAAAAGGAAATCAAGTTGTAATAAGAAATTCTTTTGCTCTTCTAGGTGACAAAGTTATCACATTCCCTCTCCCACAGTGTAGAGAATGCACTGCTTGTCTGAATTCTAGGGGAAATTTTTGTATAAAAATAAAGTAAGTCTTTGCTATTATTTTCTTATTGAAAAATGTTAATTCAATATCATTTGGAGAGATCTAAGTTTTCTAATTCTAAATATTTCTTTAGTTTCTTTTTTGTCTATAAAAGAGAGTCATACAATGGACTGATATCTGATGGCACCACTAGGTTTACCTGCAAGGGAAAATCAGTATATCACTTTGCTAACATGAGCACTTTCTCTGAATACACAGTGATAAACCAAATGGCAGCTGCCAAGATTGAGGCAGATGTAGCCCTTGAGAAAGTATGCCTAATTAGCTGTTGTTTTTCCACTGGATATGGTGCTGCAATCAATACTGCCAACGTGAGGGACATTTTTACTCACTATGAATGGAATGCATGGATACTGCATGATTTAATATCAGGAAGGGAGTGTATCAGGATTGTATCCTTTCACCATACTTACTCAATTTGTGTGGTGAGTAAACAATCCAAGAAGCTGGATTATAGAAGAAAAATGTGGCATCAGGATTGGAGGAACTCATTAACAACCTGTGATATGCTGATGACACAACTTTGCTTGCTGAAAGTGAGGATGACTTGAAACACTTACTGTTCTGGTTACCTAGAGCCGCTCTAACAGAAAATACCACAAATGGGATGGCTTTAACAAACAAGAGTTTATTCTCTTACAATTTGGAGGCTTTAAGTCCAAGTTCAAAGTGCCAGGCTCTAGGGGCTGGATGAAAGCCCCTCAGCCTTGGGCTTCAGCTCTACCTCCTGCTCCTGGCCCACTGAAGTTAGAGGCTTTTCTTCACTCAGACAGCTGCTCTCTGCTGAGGCTGCTAAGCCCAAGGTTGACAACTAAAAAGGCACAGTCCCGATACTATCAAATCACATGGCAGGCCATTAATTCAAGTCCATTGTAAGTCCCCAGGTCGGCAGAGCATGGCAGACAGAACAACGACACAGCTACATGCAGGGTCCAAGCGTGCCATAAACTAGAGACCATTCCCAAAGGCCATTCCCTTATACACAGGAAGCAGACCACATCCCAAAAGCACCTACTCAGCTGCTTGTGGTAGATCCCTCCATGGAGTTGATTGCCGGTCTCATCATGGGGAATAACTATCACCAGCTGCCCAGCCACTCAACCAGGCCCAGCCAAGTTGACATGCAAACTGAATCACCACAATACAGTGGTAGTCGGGCACCATCTAGTTCTTCTGGTCTCATAGTCATATAGGCTGAGGATTGCATGGTATACCAGTCGGTTGGACTAATTGTTTCCATGCATCTTTGGTTTTCTTCATTCTTCTTTGCTGAGAGCCCTTCTTAAAGTTGCTGTTCAATTTTAGGTCTTTGCCTTTTACAGTGTTCAGTAGTTCCCATAACATACAGAAAATAAGAGTGGCAGTGGTTCCATTTAAATTGGTCCAATTTTAGACTGTAATTAAAAAGAAAAAAAAAAGCTTTAGGTGCTCTGGTGTTGTAGTGGTTAAGGCATTTGGCTGCTAACCAGAGGTCAGTGGTCCAAACCCATTGCCTGCTCCAAGGGACAAAGATGTGGTAGTCACTTCCGTAAAGATTTACAGCCTTAGAAACCCAATAGGGCAGTTCTACACTGTGGTCTCTATGAGTTAGAATCAACTCAACGGCAATGACTTTAAAAAGTCTTAGCCTTCATAAGGCATTGCCACTGTAAGTAATGTAAAGTTTATAGATATTAAAAAAAAAAGAAGAAGAAGAAGAAGAAAGGGACAGTTGAAGGAAGATGGAGATAGGTTTAAGGGACTTGAATATATCTGATATTGAATCAATATTCTGTCAAATAAATCTTAAGATTCCATGAATGTTAATTAAAATACTTCCATCCATGGTAATTCCTGGGACTTTGAAACTCTATTCACAGGTAGTTTTTTGCTTCTATTGCAAACAAGTGTTCCATATCTGAAAAGATATTGAGACACTAAAACTCCAGTTTTAGTGTTTTATCTGAAAATGTCCTATGTTAATGTCTCAAAGAAAGTATGCACTTGGCCTTCCCAATTGAATAAATGTACATGTTCCATTGCCATTGTTTTCTGGGTTTTCTGCCTTTATATGCTCAGGCTCCCCCTGTGTAGTACTTGGTCTTGGAGCAGTGAGCTTGTCTGTAATCATGGGCTGTAAGGAAGCAGGAGCAGCCAGGATCATCGGAGTGGATGTCAACAAAGACAAGTTTGAAAAAGCAAGAGAAGTGGGTGCCACTGAGTGCATCAGCCCACAAGAATTCAAGATACCTATTCAAGAAGTTTTATTTGGGATGACTGGTGCTGGTGCAGATTTTTGCTTTGAAGCCATTGGAAACCCAGAAACTGTGGTATGTACTCTTTTATAGGGAACATTACCAGTATTTGTTCAGGTGATCATCTTAGATTTTTATTTAATGAAACATCTGAAATTCTCTACACATTTCTCTAACTTTCTCTGTGCCCCATGAGATCCCAGATGGTACCCTTTATCCATACAATAAATCTGTTCATTATCCAAGATACTCATTGAATCTATAACTTTTGTGCTAGGTTTTCTTCTCCCTCTCTGTTCTATCATACCAGTCCTTCATATAAGCATATATTCTCAAACATACAGGAGAGTAAGACTTTGTAAAGAATTCTGGCTAAATTATTTCATTACAAAACACAGCCTGGTAACTATAATTTCTGAGCCAGGAAATTTAAGCTAGATAAGTAAAACCTGAATTCAAGATCCCGTAAAACACTGAGTGAGCTTTGCACTTTCAACAAAGTCCTTAGTGTTAGATCTGAGATAAGCTTCCATCAATGTTATTTATCAATCTCAACTAAATGGGCTTATTTCAAAAATGAAATGTTTTAAAATAGTTTATATGTTTGTTTGTTTGTTTCTCCTGAGTGAACATGATTTGTATAGAAGAACATGAATTGACAGGAAGTTATTTTAAAACCTGAAACTTGTTTTCTTTGGAGATTTGAAGAAATAGTGTATTATTGGGTTGCATGGAAAATCTTATAATCAGCTGTATGAAAATTCAAGAACTGCCTCATCCAAACAGGGCCGTTTCCCCAGTATACAAAATGTTTTCCTTCCTCATTATATCTAAATTCCCTCTTCTGTAAAAAGAATGTAGCAAAACATTTCATATACTCTTGCTCTGAGAAATAGCTTTGAAAATGACTTGCATAAACATGACTGTTTATTATCATTTAATAGCACACCAAAAAAAAAAACTCACTGCCCTCTAGTCAATTTGATTCATAGCCACCCCTCCTTGGGTTTCCAAGGCATTATCTCTATGGAAGTAGATTGCCCAATATTCCTTCCAAGGAATGGCTGGTGGTTTGAACCACCAACCTTCTGGTTAGCAGTCAAATGCCTTAGGGACTGTGTCACCCAAGCTCCCTAATAGTACACAGTACTATACAAATATCTAACTGTCCCCGTTAATGTTAAAAAAAAAAAGTCAGTAATAACCAACCACTTGTGTTACTGATGGTTCTGATAAAAATTATTACCAAGAATGTTGTTATTATTTTCACTCTTGTTACTTTAATATATTGAATCCTATATACCAGGAGCACTGGTGGTACAACGATTAAGTGATCAGCTGCTAACAAAAATGCCAGTGGTTTGAAATCACAGTCTGCTTCTCAGGAGAAAAGCCATCACTATCAGCTCCTATAAAGAGTGTAACATAGGATAATACCCTATAGGGCAGTTTAGCTCTGTCACACTGTTCATTCTATGAATCAGAATCAACTCAATGGCAAATAACATGGGTCGGAATTGACTCCGAAGCACACAACAAAAACAACATATATAAGGCAGCATACAATATCTTAACTATTTCATAGCATCCTTAAAAAATAAATATTATCACAAATGAGGATAGGGAGCATCAGAAAAGAGGGTGACAGATCAGTCACTCAAGCTGAGATTAAAAGTTAGATGTGAATCCTAAGTACATCTTTTAACCCCTATTCTGCATTTTCTTTATAACAGGTAGCTGCCCTGGCCTCTTGCCATGAAAGCCATGGTGTCTGCGTGTTTGTGGGGATGTTGACTGATCGTGACCAGCTCAATATCAGTGGTCACTTATTGTTCTCAGGGCGTTCCTTAAAGGGATCTATTTTTGGAAGTATGCATGAAGCACAAAAGGGTGGGAATGTCTGAGCACAAAAGGGTGGGAATGTCTGAGGTTTGGAGGTGGAGAACAGGGGAAGATGTAACATAAATATTTAGAAGGGACCCAAAGCAAGTGTTTTAGATCATTGTTTTTGTTTCAGTGCATGAATACTCAAGGTCAGGGCATGAATATTAGATGTAGTCAGTTGCTTCTTGTTAAGATTTCTTTTCACACAAAAGGATAGAAAACATTTTTAAAAATTGATAAACAATCATTCAGAGAAGAGCTGACACCAATCCTACTGAAACTATTCCAGAACACAGAAAAGGATGGAATCCTCCAAAATGCATTTTATTAAGCAGGCATAAACCTGATGCCAAAACCAGGCAAAGACACCATTAAAAAGGAAAACTACAGAGCAATATTCTTCATGAATGTTGTTGTAAGGTGCCGTAGAGTCGTTACTGACTCATAGTGACCAGGAGAATGAAACACCACCCAATCCCATGCCAGCTCCATGATCCTTGCTATACTTGAGCCTCATTACAGCCACCATGTCAATCCATCTCATTGAAGGCCTTGCCTTCTATCATCAACCCTCCACCTTACCAAGCACGACATCCTTCTCCAGGGAATGGTGTCTTCTGAGAACATGACCAAAGTAGGTGAGATGAAGGCTGGCTATTCTCGCTTCCAAGGAGCATTCTAGCTGCACTTCCTCTAGGACAGATCTGTTAGTTCTTTTAGCAATCCATGGTGTTTTAAGCATTCTTCACCAGCACCACAACTCAAAAGCATGAACTCTTCTTTGGTCTTCCTTATTCATTGTCCAGCTCTCACGTGCATATGAGACGACTGAAAATACCATGGTTTGTGTCAGGTGCATCTTAGTCCTCAAGGAGACATCTTCGCTTCTCAGCACATGAAAGAGGTTCTTCACAGCAGACTTGCCCAGTGCTATACGTCACCTTATATCCTGACTGCTGCTTCCATTGGCGTCAATTGTAGAACCAAGCAATGTGAAGTCTTTGACAACTTCAATCTTTTCTCCATTTATCTTGATGCTGTTTATAGGTCCAGTTGTGAGGATTTTTGTTTTCTTTACACTGAGATGTAATCCATACTGCAAACTGTATTCTTTGATCTTCCTCAGTAAGTGCCTCAAGTCATCCTCACTTTTAGCAAGCAAAGTTGTATCGTCAGTGTATCACAGGTTGTTAATGATTCTTCCTCCAATCTTGATGCCATGTTCCTCTTCATATAGTCAAGCTTCTTGGATTATTTGATCAGCATATGAATTGAATAAGTATGGGGAAAGGCTACAACCCTGACACACTCCTTTCTTGATTTTAAATCATGCAGTGTTCCCTTATTTTGTTCGAACGACAGCCTCCTGGTCAATGGACAGGTTCCTCATGAGTGCAATTAAGTGCTCTGGAATTCCCATTCTTCCCAATGTTGTCCACAATTTGTTATGATCCACACAATCAAATGCCTTTGCAGAGTCAATAAAACACAAGTAAACAGCTTTCTAGTATTCTTTGCCTCGAGCCAAGATCCATCTGCCAGCAGCTATGATATCCCTTGTTCCATATCCTCTTCTGAATCCAGCTTGCACCTCTGGAAGTTCTCTGTCAATATGCTGCTGCAATCATTTTTTAATTGTCTTCAGTAAGATCTTACTTGTGTGTGATATTAATGACATTGTTCAATAATTTCCACATTGTATGGGATCACCTTTCTTTTGAAGGAGTACATATATGAATCTCTTCCAGTCAGTTGGCCAGGTAGCTGTCTTCCAATTCTCTTGGCATTACCGAGTGAGTGACTCCAGTGGGGCATCCATTTGTTGAAACATCTCAATGGATATTCATCAATTCCTGGAGCCTTGTTCTTCACCAATTCCTTCATTGCAGCTTCGACTTCCTCTTTCAGTACCATTGGTTCTTGAACATATGCCACCTTGTAAAATGGATGAAGACTGACTGGTTCTTTTTGGTACAGTGACTCTGTGTATTCCTTCCATATTCTTTTGATATTTCCTGCATCAGTCAATATTTTGCCCATAGAATCTTTCAATATTGCAACTTGAGGCTTAATTTTTTTCCTCCATTCTTTCAGCCTGAGAAATGCTGAACATGTTCTTCCCTTTTGGTTTTCTAAGTCCAAGTCTTTGCACATTTCATTATAGTAATTGGTTTTGTCTGCTCAAGCTGCTCTTTGAAATCTTCTATTCAGCTCTTTGATCTTGTCATTTCTTCCACTTGCTTTAGCTACTCTCTGCTCAAGGACAAGTTTCAGAGTCTCTTCTGTCATCCATTTTGGCCTTTTCTTCTTTTCTCATCTTTTTAGTGATCTCTTGCTTTCTTCATGGATGATGTTCTTGATGTCATCCCACAATTCTTCTGGTTTCGGTTGTTGGTGTTCAATGCATCAAATCTTTTCTTCATGAATATATACCCAAAAATCTTCAACAAAATCCTAGCCAGTAGACTCCAACAACATAACAAATAATAATAATAATAATAATAATGCATTAGGACCAAGTTGGATTCCTATCAAGTATGCAAGGATGGTTCGATATTGGGGGGGAATCAGTGTAATTATCACATAAGTAAAATGAAGGAAAAGAATCACATGAGCTTATCAATCAATGCTGAAAAGGTATTTGATATAATCCAACATCCATTCCTTATTTAAAAAAAAACTGTCAAGAAAATAGGACTAGAAGAGAATTTCTCAACATAATAATGTGTTAATGGAGAGAAACTGAAACCATTCCCCTTGTGAACAGGAACCAGACAAGGATGCCTTCTATCACCACTTCTACCCAGCATTCTATTAGAAATCCTAGCCAGAGCAATAAGGCAAGAAAGGGAAATCAAAGCATCCAAATTGGTAATGAAGAAGTAAAACTATGCCTATTTGCTGATGATATGATCCTATACATACAAAACCCAAGAGACTCAGCAAAAAAACTACTGGAACTTACAGAAAGATTTGGCATAATGGCAGGATACAAGATCAACATACAAAAATCAGTTGGATTCCTCTATACTAGCAAAGATATCTCTGAAAAGGAAATAAATCATCTATGACAAACATGAATGAGACTTTAGGCATATTCTATCCTGGGGCAAAATTTCTCTTCATCTGTGAACCTGGGAAATGTACATTACAAGGTATCTGCTTCCAAAGTATAATGGTATAACAGCCACAAGATAGACATTCCCATTACAAATGGGAGAAATTAGAGAAACAAAAGTGATAATGGGGACCAAGCCAGTCCAAAACTCAGCAGAACAATTTACATCAGCTCTCATAGTTTGAAAATAACCTTCTGTTTTCTGAGACCATCTGGGTAATGGTTCTGACCTCCACACTGTAGGTGTTGATCACACCCTCTGACTTCTAGGTGGAGGCCCCTGGGCTCTGGGCTTCATCTCTGTCTTCCAGGCACACATGAATGGCAACTCAGATCCCTGGGCATTAACCAAAAAACCAAATCACTGCCATTGAGTTGATTCCAACTCACAGCAACACCATGCTTCTTACAAAAGTTCTACTGATCTCTCAGCTATTCCAGGAATAGTTCTTTTCTTCTCTTGGGTTCAACAGTTGTAGCTCCTTTGGCCTATTTCCTGCCAGTAGGATTCTAAGAGGCTATGGTAGTTAAGTTTCTGTGTCAAATTAGCTGGGCTGTAAGGAGCTCTGGTAGCATAGTGCCTAAGGCACTTGACTGCTAGCCAAAGGCTGGTGGTTCAAACTCACCAGCCACTCCTCGGAAGGAAGGTTGTGTAGCCTACTTCCGTAGTGATACTGCCTCAGAAACCCAAGGAGGGGTCGCTATTAGTTGGGTCCAACTTGACAGCACATAGCAACAACAACAACTTAGAATAGCTTGGCAGTTGAATGCAATTATTCCCATGATGAGATTGAATGTGGTGTGATAACTCCATGGTGGAATCTGCTGTGAGCAGTTAATTAGTTGCCTTTGGGGTATGGCCTGCTTCCAGTATTTATGGGGAAGCTTTGAGAAAGGTCTCTATCTTTTTGGCACATCTGGATCCTGCATTTGGCTGAGTCTTCATATCAGTGGCCTGCAACATTGCCTGGCAATCTTGGGATTGTTCCTGGACTTGAACCAATAGCCTACTCTGCTGCCTACCAATCTTGGAACTGTGTCATTTTACCTGCTAATCTTGGATTCTTTAGCCTCAGCTGCTAGCAGCGTCTGAGGTAGGAGATGTCTCTAGATCCAGTAGACCTAGAATAAGAGCAGAACTGAAGCCCATGGTGGAGGGGACTTCATCTAGCCTCTAGAGCCAGCACTCTGAATTTGGACTGTAAGAGAATAAATTCCTGTTTGTTAAAGCCATCCACTTGTGATATGTCTGTTACAGCAGCACTAGAGAACCAGTAAGTCTGGTGGCCTAGTGCCTAAGGCACTTGACTGCTAACCAGAAGGCTGACGGTTCAAACACACCAGCCACTCCTCGGAAGGAAGATTGGGCAATCTATTTCTGTAGTGATACCACCTCAGACACCCAAGGAGGGGTCACTGTGAGTCAGATCCAACTCGACAACAGTGAGTTTCATTTGGTTTTGGAGAGAACCAAGACAAGCTGACAGCTCTTTCCTTTTCTCCTATCTCTATCACCTTCAGTCTAAGCAGATAGGTTTTCTGCTGTGGTAGTTGGTTGAATGCATCTGTTACACATTTAATCTCTTCAACGAAAGTTTGTGTAGCCATGGCCCTTGGTGAAAATTCTAGGACATGTGTCCTTAAATCATACAACAGAATTTTCCAAATCTTTAAGTTTTCTTTTCATTTCACACAGTTCATTTTTAAAGCCATCTCCTACCTCTCACATTTCACTATAAGCAATAAGAAGAAACCAAGCAGCACATTTAAGCTCTTGCTTAGAAATCCTTTCAACCAAATACCAAAGTTCATCATTTACAAGTTTTACCTTCCACCAAACATTTGAACATAACTCAGACAAGCTCTCTGCCACTGCATAAAAAGCATCACCCTCTGCTTTCCAGAAATGAGAAAGCCACCAAATTCTCTCTGGTAACTCTCTGATACAGAACTTAGCACGATCACATGTTCATCATTTCCTTTTAAAGCCTCACCAGAAGCTTCTCATCCACATTTCAAGCAACATGCTGTTGCTGGCACCATATGTATTCTCTCAGACAAGAGACTTTCTCTATACCTCTCCTCATTTCCTTCTGAATCCTCATCCAAATTGCCTTTGAGTTCCATAATTCTATCAACAATCTTTTCAAGGCAATGCAGGTTTTTACTGTTAAGTGCCTAAAAACTCTTCCAGCCTCTACCATTTACCCATTTCCAAAACTACTTCCACATTTTAGATATCTGTTAGAGCAGCACCCCACACTTGGTACCATATTCTGTCTTAGTTAACTAGTCCTGCTATGGCAGAAATACCATAAGTGGATGACTTTAACATACAGAGATTTATTTTCTCATAGTTTAGGAGGTTCCACGTTTGGGAAATTACAAGTCCAAATTCCCCTGGCTCTAGGGAAAGTTTTTTGTCTCTCTCTGTTGGCTCTGAGGGAAAGTCCTTATCTCTTTTCCTTGGTTTCCTGGTGATTTGCACATGGCATGGTATCTATTTCCCCCATCTCTGCTTGCTGGCTCTCTTGTTAATCTATACTATATCTGAAAAGACATCAACTCAAGATACACCCTATCCTAATCCTGTCTCATTAATATAACAAAGACAACCCACTTCCAAATGGAATTATAACCACATGACCCCTTTTGGGTTTCTGAGGCATTAAATCTTTGCAGAAGTAGATTGCCCAGTCTTCCATGGAGTGGCTGGTGGGTTTGAACCATCAACCCTCTGGATAGCAGTCAAATGCCTTAGGCATTACACCACCAGAGCTCCTTCAATTCAATCCGTAACTGTTTCCTATAACAGAAACCAACTTAAGTAGAAAATAAATTCTTTGGGGTGTTAATGATTTTCACAATCAGTGGGAAGGCTGGGGAACACAACCTAGGCTAGAACCAACAAAAGCAAGTAACTGCGAAGATGCTACCTCAGAGCAATCTGCTTAGCACACTGTTGTTTCTTTGAACAATTACACCACACCACCCTTTCCAGAAATGAGAAAGCCACCAAATTCTCTCTGGTAACTCACTGATCTGTAACTTCACGGGGCTAAATGTAAGAGCACTGTTTCTAGAAAATCATGAAAATATAGAGAATACAATGCTAAGCTCATCATTACCTGTGCAACTCTTATTTCCTGACCAAACCAAAAACCAAACTCACTGCCACAGAGTCAGTCTCGACTCAGCGATACCTCCTTGGGTTTCTGAGGCAGTATCTCTATGGAAGTAGATTGCCCAATCTTCCTTCCAAGGAGTGGCTCGTGGGTTTGAAGTGCCAGCCGTCTGGTTAGCAGTCAAATGCCTTATATTATTCCCACATTATTTCATACATACTCTTTTTCACTAGGTTCACTGCATGATAGGAGTTCTTTTCCCTTAAGGTATTTGGCTCTTTTGTGAAGCTGCACATCAAAACACACAAACACACAAAGAGGAAATTTCTAACCTATGAATTGCTTTCTTTCATGATTCCTAAGACTTTGGCCTTTGTTATATTTTAGATATGGATCCACTGCTTCCCACAGAAAACAACCTAATACCAAGAACATCTCAAGACAAGGCCCAGGTTCTACCTACTTAATTCTTTTCTATAGTACTAGAGGTCTCCTTTAGGAAAACAGCCTTCTCCATGAGGCACGTGGTTGCAACAGGGATTCTAAAGAATGGGCAAGTTAAATGAACACCCTTAGATTTCCTCAGTCAAAGCCAACACCTCCAACGTTTACTCTGGATGTTGGTTCTTTTCAAGTGAAGTCTCATGCATAAAATCTGTCCTTAATCTATGTATTTCCAGGCTGGAAGAGCAGAGATGATGTTCCTAAGCTGATTTCTGATTATATGGCAAAGAAGTTTAATCTAGATGCACTGATTACCCATACTCTGGATTTTGATAAAATCAATGAAGCAGTTGAATTAATGAAAACCGGGAAATGGTAAGTTTCTCACATAATGTTTATGTCTATGTGTTTGGGACCAAGAGAAAGAGTGTGTGGGCATGGGGGAAGGCAGGAGGAGGATTGCCACACCTGGAGGAGCCACATGCAGACAACTGAAGAAGGCTTCCAGAATTTTTTTAAGTATCTCCTCCTTTCTGTATTTTTTATGCCTAGTTCTTAAAATTACAACCCTGAAAATAGTTAATTGTCCATTTACCCTTACTATTAATATTTTATTTCCAAGTTGGCACTTTTTAAAATAGCATGGTGATTAATGAAATCAACTTATAAACTTTTGCCCACATTTAAGTATATAGTTTACAAAGAGGCTATTGTGGGTTTTGTTGCTGTTCTATTTTAAGGGGGAAATTATCCCTAGGATCCTAAATCCTGACTCCTGTCTCTAGTACAAAAGACTGAAACTAGCAATAAATTGGGCTCTGGTATTCTCCACATAGGTATATGCCTGAATAACTACTCTATAACTCTGGGTGTCATTTTGAAAAGTTGTCTCACAATTAGCTTATATACCTATTTTTCATTTAGACTAAAGAGAAGCAAGTATAGACTACTGAGCCACAAAGGAAAAATCTTAAATGCCAAAGTACAAATGTTGGTTTGGAAAACTTTCAAGTTTTTTTTTCCTTTTTCTTTTCTTTTCCAGTATCCGCTGTGTCCTGATGCCTTACATACAACAAAATTTATGTAAGATCTACAGCATATTTCACCAGCTGAATTACATTCTAATCTTCATGATTTAGAATTATACACACAATGCTGTCTCTATGTTTTTGCCTCTGAATAACTCTACATTGGACTCAAATCTAGCTTCTTCTCACATCACATCATCAGACTGATTCTTATCTGTCTTTTGCCACCTAGGATTATTCTCCTTTTTAGAGCTCAATTAAGGTAAGCTGGAATCAAACAATTCCAGACCCTTCATACATCTGAACTCACTATAAGATGCTTCCGTTTTTATACTTGCTTCTGGGCCCATGCTTCCGTGCATACTGTGTCTCTCCCATACCATATTAGCCTTGACAGGAAGCCCATTTCACACCAAAGAAACAAAACTCCTCATTCATACTTTTCCTAAAGGTCCATAGTAAAGGAAGCCAGTGGAAGAGGGGGTCTTCATCAGAGCAACACAAATAAATCCTATTGAATATTAAATATTTCATTCTTAATATATCTCACTCAAGGGGAATGTCTACTGATATTTCACCTTATATAACCCAATCTGAAACCCTTAGCAGGTCGTATTTATATTACCTGGCTTCATAACTAAGCAATTTAGAGGTCCAGCAAAAACATAAAGCTGGAAGAGGTAGATGAAGTCTGGTTATCTGTCCATTGTCACCTAGAATTATCCTCCTTTTTGGAGTTCAATTAAGGTTAGCATTTTTGCATCCTGTTTTCTGATTCTATCATAATGACTATCACACAGATAAAATTTCTGTATTGATTTATGTAATGGCCTGTATTTGTTTTCTGTTGGTACATAACAAATTATCCCAAACTAATGACCCAAAACAAACATACACATTTATTATTTCACAGTTTCTGTGGGTCAAGATCTCAGGAGCATCTTAGGTGGGGGTTCCACCTCAGAGTCCATCATGAGGTTGCAGTGAAGATGTCAACCAGACTGTGGTCATGTGAAGGCTTAGCTGGGACTGATGGGTCTGATTTCCAGGGTAGACCATTCCTGGTTAGCAAATTAGCAGTGGTTGTTGGTGAGAATCTTGGTGGGACTTCTTCATATGATGGCTTGGGTGTTCTCATGACCTAGACAGAGAAATGTCATCAACTTGATTCCAACTCATCACAACCTTATGTAAAATGGAATGAAATGTTGCCCAATCTGTGTCATCTTCATAATGGCCAGCATGTTTGAGTCTATCCTTGAAGTTATTATGCCAATGCACTACACCCAGAGTCTCTCTCTCTCTCCTTTTGTGGCCTTCTTCTACACCAATCACCATTTGTCTGTCAGTTCATCAAACTATGGTGGCTTGCATGTTGCTGTGATGCTGAAACATATACCACCAATATTTCAAAAGCATCAGGGTCACCCATGATGGGCAGGTTTCAGCAGAACTCCAGACTAAGACAGACTAGGAAGAAGGAAGTGGCAGTCCAATCTGAAATAATTGGCCACTGGAAACCTTATGAACTGTGGTGAAAAGTCTGATATAGTGCCAGAAAACCTTATGAACAGAATGAAACATTGTCTGATATAGTGCTTTCCACTCAGGTTGGAAGTCACTCAAAATATGACTGGAGAAGAGCTGCCTCCTCAAAGTAGAGTTAACCTCAATGATGAGTATGGAGTAAAGCTTTCAAAACCTTCATTTCCTGATGTGACAGGGCTCAAAATGGGAAGAAATAGCTGCAAACATCCATTAATAATTGGAACATGAAATGCACAATGTATGAACCTAGGAAAATGGTTGGGGAAAAAATGAACTGGAATGCATTAACATCCATATACTAGGCATTTGTGAGCTGAAATGGACTAGAATTGGCCACTTTGAACCAGACAGTCATTAAAGTCTACTATTCTAGGAATTAAAAATTAAAGAGGAATCTCATTCATTGTCAAAAAGAACATTTCAAGATCTATCATGAAAGACAATGCTGTCAATGATAGAATAATATTCATATGCCAACAAGGAAGACCAGTTAATATGACTATTTTTCAAATTTATGCACAAACCACTAAAGCTAAAGAGAAAGAAATGGAAAAGTTTTACCAACTTCTGCAGTGCTGTTACCAGCACAACAAATGGTCACTTTACAGAGACAGTAAGAGAATGAGAAGAGATAGAAAGAGAGGAGGCTTAGCTAAGGTGTCTCCATATAAACCCCGGAGCGGAGGGGCAAAGCCACACCGTTATGCCATATGCCTCAAGTGGGAACGGAAGGAACACATCAAGCCTTTTGCTGGAATGTGTCAACTTTATTATAATTACACTCAAACTTATATACTGGTTTAACATGGGAAAAGTGCATGATTCATATGTCATACAATCAATCACAAGTTAATCAATATTAGGAAAAGTACATGCATACACAATTGGCATATTAAAATTTAAACTAACATTCCTGTTCCCATAATTCAAGTCACCACACCTCAGGTCACTTTAACTTCTTAAATTCTATACTCATTCTTCTATGTAACTATGTTCCCTAGAAACCTATGTTCCCTAGCAACTAGTTTAGATTGGCTTCCGCATATTCTGGGTTCAGTCAAAGGTTCACAGAACAATACAAGGGAGAAAATGGCTGATGGTGTACTAAGAAATTGGCTACAAAATTCAATCTCATATATTTATGTCAAATCTTGCTAAATCATGCTGATTAAATATAATCACTGTTTCTTCCGGGTATGAGAACCATGGAGATCTGAATGTTTAGCTCAACCTAAGGACAAACTCATTTGTCAACTTGAAGGGAGCCACATTCTTCCCCAACAAGACTCAACATGCAGATGCTATGTGCATCAATGTACTATGGACTCAACATGCAGACACTGTGCATCAATGTAGATTTATATACAGATGCTGTGTATCAATGCTTTGGAGTCTTATATTGTACAGACGCAATGCATCAATGCTTGGAGTCTATGTTCCTCTAAGTCTTTTCAGACTGAGAAACATTCTGGCTCTCAACACTGCAGGCTGAAATTTACCAAACATACAATGAAGATGGTGACTGGAATGCAAATGTTGGAAAATAAGCATCAGTAGTTGAAGGACCTCTGGTAGCATAGTGGCTAAAGCACTTGACTGCTAACCAGAAGGCTGGTGGTTCAAACCCACCAGCCACTCCTCGGAAGGAAGGTTGGGCAATCCTACTTCTGTAGTGATACTGCCTCGGAAACCCAAGGAGGGGTCGCTATGAGTCGGGGCCGACTCGCCGGCACATAACAACAACAACAAGAAGTTGAAAAATATTACTTTGGTGATAGAAATGATACCAGAGATCCTGTGATAGAATTTTGCAGACCAAAGACTTATTCATTGGAAATATCTTTTTAAACAACATAAACAATGACTCTACACATGGAACTCATCAGATGGAATACACAGGAATCAAATCAACTACATCTCTGGAAAAAGACAATGGAAAAACTAAATATCATCAGTCAGAACAAGGTCAGGAGCTGACTGTGAAACAGACAATTGCTTGTACGTAAGTTTAAGCTGAAGCTAAGAGGAATAAAAATAAGTCCACAAGAGCTAAAATATGAACTTGAGTATATACCACCTGAATTTAGGGGCCAACTGAAGAATAGATTTGGCACATTGAACACCATTGACTGAAGACCAGACAAATTGTAGGACAACATCAAGAACATTGTATATGAAGAAAGTAAAAGGTCATTAAAAAGAAAGAAAATACCAAAATGGAAGTCAGTGTCATTCCTCTTCCATGGAGAGTTTCTAAAGGAAATGGAAGAAATGATGAAATAAAAGAGCTGAACAGAAGATTTCAAAAGGTAGCTCAAGAAGACAAGTAAATTATTACTGTGAAATGTACAAAGAAAACCAAAAGGGGAGAATATGCTCAGCATTTTTCAAGCTGAAAGAACTAAAGAAAAATTTAAGCCTTGAGTGGCAATATCAAAGGAATCTATGGGCAAAATATTGAATGATGCAGGAAGCATCAAAAGAAGATAGAAGGAATACATTTGGATCCACAATCAATGCCCATGGAACCTGCATTCAAGAACTCAAAGGACATATTGCACTGGGCAAATCTGCTGCAAAAGACCTCTTTAAACTGTTAAAGAGCAAAGATGTCACGTCAATAGCCTTGCATGTGTGTGAGAGCTGGAAAATGAACAAAGGAGACAGAAGAAGAATTGATGCCTTTGAATTGTGCTGTTGGCAAAGAATACTGAAAATGCCATGTTGAGTTTAACCAATATGGGTTATGTGAAATGGCAGCAATAAATAAGCTTAAAAGGCAGAAGAAAGTTCGGCAGAACAGTGCAATCTGTGAAAATAGACATTAACTCAACAATTGTACAGACATGCCTAGGTTCATGAATACCGGTTTCACTCTATGTTATCATCTCTCATGACATCCAACTTAGCTCAAATTCAAGTTCATATAAACATTACTGGGCTTGATAAAAGCAAAAACAACCAATCAATGGTCTTTGCCTTTGTCCTTTGCTACATGCTTCAGTAAGGAGGCAGAAACCATACCAATTTCTTGAACCGAAGGAATGCAACATAAAGAATTAAGAGTCAATAAAGTTCTTAACTAGGCAAATAGAAAATCACGAGAGTGTCATAAAGAAAAGGCTGAAATTAAAATGTAAAAGCCTCAGGGAGGGGACCAACAGAACTGAAACTCAGGACTCTGAATAGGAAGCTATGGCTAGCTGGGTTCTCTGAGTGTCCACGATAAGGCTGCTTTTGCAAGGATCAGAAATTCCCCAAATTAGATCCAAGTGCTGCTATGGAGGGAAAAACTGCTGCTTCTGGGGTATAGTAGTCTGGGTTCTCTAGAGAAGTAAAACCAGTAAAGCTTATATAGACAGAGAAAGAAAAATTTATCTTAGGAAAATGGCTCACACACGTATAGAAGCTGGCAAGTCCCAAGTTCCTGAATCAAACGTCAAGCTGGAGGCTTTTCCTGACTCACACAGCTGTAGGGGCTGACAAGCTCAAGGTAGGCAGGCAATCTCCAGCATTATTTCTGTCACCAAGGCCAAATTTTCCAACTACCAGTGATTCTTCTT